TCCAGGTGGTGCAGACTCAGCCAGCCTCTGCATCCTGTTCTGTGGGTTTCACCTCAGTAAATAGCCACCCGGCATCTCAAAAGCAGGAAAAAGGAAGTCTGTGAGTTCCACGATAATTATCCTTAATGGTTTGGTGGAACGTGACAGAGAGACTCCCTGAAAACTCTACGAGCTCAAAAAGGCACCTGCCACACCCACCAGGCACACCTGCACCTATGGGAGACAGGCGGCAAAGGTCGGCAAGAGGGTCAAAAAGCAAAGGGCGCGGGCACAAGGGAACTTCGAGTGTATTCTGTCCGTGGTAAAGACGACAGGGTACTTTTTCTGTGGAGGTCGTTTTTTAAAATGTCAGTATAAGCACCTGTCCCGTCTCCCCGAGAGATTGTGAGCACCTTCAGCGTTGGCAGCATGTAGGCTCTGGAGAAGCACAGGAAAAGGATAAACATTGGGCGGGTGAAGCACCAACAGGTTCCCGCTTCAAGGTCGGATTCCCTCGGAGCCCGTCATGAGGAAGCCATCGTGTTCCCACTCAGGTCGGTCCTCGTGGAAAGCTCCTTCTCGCACTGTGCTGGGCGACCACCGGTCCCGTTCCTGAGGGCTGACGCGGGGGCTGTGGACAAGGGCTGCGTCGCCAGGGAGATGTGGCTTCAGACTCCAGCTCCGCCGTCCCACACGGCTTGACCGCGAGCAAGTTACTTATCCTACTCCGAACCTCGGTTTCTTTGTTTAAAAACTGACAATAATATCGCCCGCCTCGTGGAGCTGTCGGCATGAAACAAGCCAGCCTTATGTAAAATGCCTAACGGAGAGCCTAGCAAACAGTCAGACCTCAAAATTGTAGCTTAAAAACATCCTGCCTCGTTCCAACACGAATGCAAACAGGAGCGGCAAAATGCTCTGAAACACGATGAATAAAAACTGTGCGGGGCCTCGCGCAGCTTGCAAATGCCAAGGCGCAGGACACCCACATAGTCCTCCCTGTTTTCCAGAGAAAGGCTGAGGAGCACAAAGCTCTGAGGCCTTTATGGATCAAGGAAAGTTCGAATAGAACCTCTGAAGCCCACTGACCCTAAGACAGAAATCTCAGCATCTTAGCATGTGGGTGCCAAAAACGAAGCTTAGAGACCAGTGCAACCCTCTCCTTTCATAGATGAAGAAGCTCAAGGCCGAGAGGTTAAGTGATTTGCCCAAAATTATCCGGTATGCTCCCTAATTTCTTTAAATGTGTTATTTCTAGCCCCTGCCTCCTCCCCTTCTTCCCCCTAATCTGTCCTTCTCAGCATCCTAGGACGACAGTAGCAATTTGACAGCTGGGACCTGGTATAATCCACCTTAGGAGACAAATATTTCCTTAAGGACAAGAACTGCGTCTTTTATCTCGGTGCCTACAAAAGGCGCCCCCGCCCCACGCCCGCAAGTCCCCACTGATGAACTGACGGGGGCAACACGCAGTTTCTCCTGGTCCTGGAGGAACAAGCTTGGAGGAATCCACACACAGCAGACCTCCTGCTAAGAACATAATCCCCGCCACTCAGCATCAGGCAGAGACCTGCCCATCTAACCCGAAGGAATGAACAGTTGCTAGGAGCCCCGGAAGGTGTGCACAGAAAGGGGGGCCGCAGCGGCTGTTGACGCTACCCCCACTCCCCTTATTTGGCCCTGGCATCACCAAACCCTCTCTTGGTTTTTGGTTCTGATAGGTAAAAAGAGACATAACTAGATAGCTCTCATTAACTGAGGTACAAAAGCAGAATGGGAACCTTAGCGTGACTCAGCTCTCAGGATTTATAAACACACATAAGCAAGTTCTGACCAGCGCTGGGAGACCCCCCAACAGCAGAGGGGGCAAGCTGGCGGGAGGACACCGAGACCCCCCAGGCAGAAAGCCTGTGGACCGCCGCGGGGGGCGCTGGGCCTGAGACCCCGCCGGCCGCCTCGGAAGCCACGGCTCCGGTCCGTCATCGCGCTCCTGGCTTTCGAGGCTTGAAGCCTTGCGGTCTCCCCTTCTCCATCCTCCCTGCCCCTCGCCTGGTCTGTGCCCAAACCCCATCTTTTCCTTCCTTCCATCTTCCAGCCACCCTCCTGTCATTGTGAACTGCAGCATCCCGGCCACTGTCGTGTGGGCCGGACGCGGGGCCCCCCGCCTGCTCGGGTTGCCCAGAACTCTCCCGGTTTCAGCCCTGAAAGAACCATGTCCTGGGCAACCCCTCAGTCCCGGACAGACTGACACAGCTGGCCACCTTACTGCAGTCAGATGAAGATCTTCTCCCAAACGAGGCTCTGCTCACGGCACTGGTCCTGACCAAAATGGTCCCTGCTTCCCGTTTCTCATTAAAGTTAACCCTAAAGCAGGACCCAAATCTGCCTCAGAGAATGTGCAGGAAAGCGTGTTGGGCTGGGGTAAGGGAACAAGGGTTCTAGGCCTGGCTTCGGTCACATCCCTGTGGGACCCTTGGCAAGTCACTCGGTCTAACCGGACCTCAGTTTCCCCATCTGTCAAGTTAGGAGGCGAAGACTAGATTTCCTTTTCGGCTCCAAACTTCTCTACTCCTATTCTCCGGTCCCCTCGGCTCCCGTCAGACTTCCCAGCTCACTCCGGTCCAAACGCTCGCTGAGAATTCCCACCTTCGGACCACTGGTCCTTCGCTTCTCCCACCAGATTGTCTCTGTGTTCTTTTCTGCCCACTTGAACCCTCTGGGGAACAGAAGAAACCCCACGTCCTAAGGGAACCGAGTCCAGCTTCTAAAGACTCCACGGGCACCCGGGTTCCCGGCACTGCTCGCATTCTGCTCCAGGTGTCCTAAATCTTTTTGTGGGCGAAGCTTCTTTACCCCAACAGAACCAGAATCTCTCTGGACTCGTGCGATTTCTCTGCGGAGCCCTGAGCACGCAGTCGATAACGGCAAGCGTCATCACGGAGAAGTGACTGAGGGACGGATACAGAGAAGAAAGTCCGGCCGGAGACAAAAGGAGAAAGCACAGGCAAATCTAGAATTTTTCACACTTTACACAAGATGCCCGAATGCTTCCGTAATGCGAAGGTTCACTGACTCCCCCAAGATTCGCAGTGACTGCCCCGTGCTGACGCCACGCGTGCAGAGCGGGCGAGCAGATGGAGGCCCGGGTGTCGGGCAGTGTCTCTGCTCACAGGATAAGTGTTGTCCTTCAACTCTAACTTTTCAGTAAGACCGTAAAAGCCTCGCCTGGCAGCTGCGCCCCCATCATCACTTCAAATTCATCATGTACCTACTTCCCCCATGAGCCTGCACAGATGTCAAATAAAAAGCAATCTCAAAATAGGTTAATGGAAAAAAATTCACCGATAGGGGCAGGACATTAGCCTGAGGTAACCTCTTCCAAGGACAGAGTCCTGGCCATACACCTAGACGCCGGCCCCTCCTTGGCCAGGCTTTCGTGAAGTGGCCATGCTGACGATCTTCGGTATTTGACGCTTGTCCTCCATTAGTCTTGGTACATGACACATATTAGGGATGAACTCAGCCCACACACACCCCTGTCTTTTGGGACCCCCACGGCACGCACGCACACGGACACTCCCCTAATTAAATGGGGCTGAGGCTTGAACAGTGTCACCTAATCTAATGACAAACAGGTTCGTGAGCACGTGGGGGAAGTAAATACACCAAACGGTCTGCAGAGGGAGAGGCCAGGCTAGGCCGAGCTGGGCTGGGCCCGGGGTGATTCAGGCTGTCGCAGAATGGGTGTCTCCTGGGACGGACAATTAAAACCCCTATAAATAGGATGGGTTTCCAGGTCTCTAGTATCCTCTTCAGCTTCTCGCTCTGCCCGCTCCTCCTTAAACAGGTAAGACGTGCGTCATGCGTGGGGCAGCTCGGCAGTGTCCACGAGGCTCTCGATGATGGCCGCCATGTGCCAGGCCGCAGCAGGCTGAGCGCACGCCCTGAGGGTGACGGCCTCGGGCCCGCTCCTGCCCCTCTTCTTGGTTCAACCTAAGAATGAGACGATAACTGGGGTGGCCTACTTCTGAGCCCGTAAACGTGCTCACTCACATTTCAGGGTGTCCCAGGCGCCCAAAAACCAAGGGCTGGAACCGCCGGCGGGTCGCTCAGCCTCCGGGGTGGAGCAGCTGCCGTGTGTTTGGGGCTCACGGGGACAAGGCCCTAGACCACGGGGCCACAGCGGTAGCCCAGGCACTCAGCTTGTACCCTGCACTCGTTACTGGAATGCTTTTTGAAGGCTGATGTGCTTTGCAGTTGAGGTTTCAGTGAGGAGGCCTGTAAACTCGGTAACTGGAATTTTCACATCCCAAGAAGAAATATCACTGAGATCCAGACCCCAGAGACTCCTGCCTTCCGGTACGGCCAGTGCGAACCGGGCCAGTAGGATATACCCCGCCATCATCCGTGCAGTTAATCTGGCTCGCGGTTCCCATCTGTCACCGTTTCTGTAGTCGCTGATTATAATCATGAACAACCATCCAGGCTGGAAGCTTTTGCTAGAACGTGCCCTCCAGGAAGCCTCCTTGGCCCGTGGCGAGAGACCTCTGGCCCTCTGTCCCCCACCATAGCAAGGCCCGTTAGTGGGCTGGGCCTATTCAGTGGGGTCTATTGAGTGCCGCCTCCTGTGTGCTGGTCATCAGTGGAAAATTAGGCCTCAGCACACTGGCTCTGGCCCTGTGGGCTCCTGACCACTTTTCCTTTTCCTTCCAGTTTGAGAGTTTCAATCAAGCAAATCCCACCTGGAGTGGAGGATGGAGCGTGTAAAATACCCACCGCGTATTATTTGCTTTTTAGGAAATGGCTTTTTAGGAAACTATGGTGGAAACCCATAGTTTACACCCCCGCCCACGGTAGCTCACACAGAGTGAGGAGCATGGCTGAGAAGGGGCTGTCATGTCTTGAGCTTCTTTCCCTAACTGAGAGGGGCCGCTTCCCTTTGAAAATGCCTTCCCCTGCCCTTCACCCTAAACACGACTCAAATTTCATTTCTTCTTTTAGATTCACCTGTCTTTGCCACAATGGCTCAACTCCTAAACAGCATACTCAACGTGATCAAAGTGTTCCAGAAATACGCTCAGGAGAACGGGGACTGTACCTTGCTCTGCAAGAAGGAGCTGAAGCAGCTGCTGTTGGCTGAGTTCGGAAGCATCCTCCGGGTAAGACGCGCAGGCTCCGGGCCCCTGGAGTCTAGGACGAGCGAGTCTGACACCTGCGCCAGGGCTCAATGGCGTTCGCTTTATTCGGTGAAGCTCCGCCCTGTCACTAAAAGAATTTCGGGCAGGTCCTTATAGTTCTCTCCCAGCACATGCTCACACGCACGCACACATGCGCACAGACATGCATGCACACCTGCGCACGCGCACGCACACCTCCTTACAGCTGAGTGTGAACGTGAGGAAGTACAGCTTCAAACTGGAACTCATTTCGCAGAAGATGATCTAGACTCAGATCTTGATGTCTATGTTTTAGTGCTCATCCATCACTCATCCCTTCCATAATGCGTCATTAAGCACTTACCCACTACTGGCACTGTCCTAGCCGCTGGGGACCCGAACACTGGGGACCCGAACACAGAGGAGAGCAGCCTCCCCCTCCCACTCCACGCCCCCCCCCGCCAGAATCTCACGGAGTGGTTGGGAAGAAGTAGGTAAACAAACAAGTACAACATGGCATGTGATGGGAAGGGACAGCTTCCTTGAGTGACTCAAATTAATTATTAATGGAGTCGATTTTAAATAAGTGCCGTGCTCCCATTGGCCCAGCAAGGGATGAGGCCTGAGAACCAGCTGATCAAAGACTAGAACCCAGCTGAAGCCACTTCGCATGGGCGGTTTCAAACCCAAGAAGGCTCACGCTCTCTGGAAAGGCTGGGGTGTGGACATGGCCAAGGAAAACATCCGATTTGGCTCTTTGTTTTATTTCACAGAGGCCGAATGACCCAGAGACTGTGGAAACCATCCTGAGCCTCCTGGATAAAGACAGAAATGGGCATGTTGATTTCAACGAATATCTCTTGTTGGTGTTCCAGCTGGTCCAAGCTTGCTACCGTAAGCTGGATGCTAAGTCCTGTGGGGACAGAACGTCCCAGCAAGAAGGGGAGCAGGAGGGGACCCAAGACCAGAAGTTTCCACGAAATACAGGCAGACAGCACCGGGAGAGGCACGCGGGAGAAAGGCAAGACCCCGACCACGGTCAGTCTGGGACACAGGACAGGGACTCCCGCTGTGGCCAGTCTGGGACACAGGACAGGGACTCCCACCATGGCCAGTCTGGGACACAGGACAGGGACTCCCGCTGTGGCCAGTCTGGGACACAGGACAGGGACTCCCACCATGGCCAGTCTGGGACACAGGACAGGGACTCCCGCTGTGGCCAGTCTGGAACACAGGACAGGGACTCCCACCATGGCCAGTCTGGGACACAGGACAGGGACTCCCGCTGTGGCCAGTCTGGAACACAGGACAGGGACTCCCACCATGGCCAGTCTGGGACACAGGACAGGGACTCCCGCTGTGGCCAGTCTGGAACACAGGACAGGGACTCCCACCATGGCCAGTCTGGGACACAGGACAGGGACTCCCGCTATGGCCAGTCTGGAACACAGGACAGGGACTCCCACCACGGTCAGTCTAGGACACAGGACAGGGACTCCCACTGTGGCCAGTCTGAGAAGCAAGGTCAGGACTCCAGCTCTGGTCAAAGACTGAGTCATAAATCTGTCAGTGACCAGTCCAAAGGACAAGGACATATCTTTGCCTTGAATCAGTGTGAGAGACAAGTTCAGGATTCTCTTTATGACCAGTCTGGAAAACTGGGAGAGTCTCGCTCCAGCCAAAGAAACCAACAGGAATCAGGCTCTTATTATGGTCAGTCTGGGAGGCTGGGTCAGGAATCAGGCTGTGGTCACAGAGACAGGCAAGAATTGGATTCTCAACATGGCCAGACAGACAGACAAGGCCAGAGTTATCATTATGGCCAGACAGACAGACAAGGCCTGAGCTCTGAGTATGGACAGACAGACAGACAAGGCCAGAGTTATCATTATGGCCAGACAGACAGACAAGGCCTGAGCTCTCAGTATGGCCAGACAGACAGACAAGGCCCAGGCTCGCAGCGCAGTCAACCAGAGACTGGGGACACTGGGCTGAACAGGCGCTTCCGAGAGAGCGCAGACACAAGCAGAGATCCACGTGCCGAGCGGTCAGGAAGGCCAGGGCCACTGAGCCAACAGACGCAGGGACAGGAAGCGAACCGAGATCAGGGACAGAGAGTCCAGTCTAGACAAGGGCAGCAGAACAGCCACCAGGCCTGGGGGCCCGAGGAGGACAGCCAACACCACCAACACAAACTCGTAGCACAAATCCAGCAAGAAAGGCCACACTGTCACAGAGGGACTGACCAGCAATCGAGCTCTAGAGAGCAAGGCCACAGGCAGGCCCAGACCAGGCAGAGTCGTGGTGAGGGGCAGAGCCACCAGGCGGATGAAGAGCAGGGCCACCAAAGCTGGGGCAGACACAGTCTTGAGGGTCAGGAAACCACATGTGAGACATGGGACAGGCAAACCCATGACGACCAGCAAGGCCATCAGAGACGGGACAGGCAAACCCATGACGACCAGCAAGGCCATCAGAGATGGGACAGGCAAACCCATGAGGACCAGCAAGGCCATCAGAGACGGGATAGGCAGACCCATGACGACCAGCAAGGCCATGACGACCAGCAGAGCCATCAGAGACGGGACAAGCAAACCCATGATGACCAGCAAGGCCATGACGGCCAGCAAGGCCATCAGAGACGGGACAGGCAAACCCATGATGACCAGCAAGGCCATCAGAGACGGGACAGGCAGACCCATGACGACCAGCAGGGCCATCAGAGATGGGACAGGCAGACCCACGAGGAGAGAGAGAGAGGTCACGGGCCCCAGGACAGGCAGTCCCACTGGACCCAGCGGGACTGCACTAATGGAGGGAAGTCTGGCGTGACTACGGACGGCCAGAGCCAAGGCTCCCGGGGAAGGTGCGGTGACCTTGCCCTCCACCCAGCCCCAGGCAATGGGAGGCCCCAAAGAAGAGAACAGGGCGGAAGGCACCCAACCAAGGCAGGGGTTGCCCTGAACCCCCTCTATGAGTACGTACAGGAGCAGAGGGTGCGTCAGTACTAGGCTGTACACACCAGCATAAAGGACCGGAAGCCGAGGAAGACGCCTGTGAGTCAAGTTCACATTTACTCCCTTTAAGAGATGGAAAACGCATGTCTCCTTCTCACTTCTACTCTCTATCTACTTGCAAGGATGCTTTCGAGGACTAGCACTCATTTTCAGGGCATTTGAGTTCTTTGAGCAGCAATGCTAGGGTGTACGGTTGGGTGAAATCTGAGTGGGAAATTGGGTGAAATAATCAGATCCCAATTTTGATTAGTTTGGGGATTTAAATCATTTCCTGATTTGCCCTCCATGTAGATGGGACATGGTTGGATCGTCGTAAGGTAAAAACTTCTCCCAAAAGTTCAGAAACAGGCAAGGTATTCTGAAGGTAGACATCACAGCCTGAGGACAGGACGCCTGGGCTTTGGTGGGCTTTGGCTCCAGCGGCTGATACATGGAGAATTGCAAGCCTCCTAGTCCACACTGCAATGAAACTCAGTGAGAGGCAGCTACAAGAGCCAGCGGCTACAGAGAGCACCTCTGATGTCCACAGCGCCCACCCCTTCCCAGAGGGACGGTCCACCGAGCCGCCGTCACTACAGCTGACTGCACTGAGGCCAGCTGCATGCCTTCCTGGTTTCTGATCATGATACACAGGGAAAGCAGATGCCACCCGTTTTCAGCGTCCAAGGAGCCAACTCTGATGCTCCATCGCTCCTGGGGCCTGAAAACCCTTCGCGAGAAAAACCTATGGAATTGTATTAAAAGACTCAATAAATGATTGGTGAGCACTGACCTCGATGCCTCTTCTCTTTCTTCCCCGTGGAGCTGTGCCATCTTCACCCGTGGGCCGTGTCCCAAAAACAAGGCCTCATTTCTAGACTTCTAAGATCTTGCTTCTTTGAGCTCCTGGGCACTGAAAAAAAATAAAAATAAAAATCAATAGGAAACATATAACAAGAAGACAAAGGGAATTTCTCTAAGGATGGTTTCAGCTCCTTCCCCGCCAGGTTCACACGGCCATTAAGTCTCGCCGTCTCCACACACACACACACACCCCCCACACACACCACACACACCCCACACACCACACACACACACACACACACACACGCTTTCTCCAATGCCCTGTAATTACATCAGTCTAATTACAACCTCCAATGGCCTATTCTTTGGTCAGATAAACCAACTCATGTTCATCTGTTATAAGAATCACTTATTCCTTGCTGACTCTTAGAAAAAGGATTCTTTTGTAAAAGACAAAAGCCCGACGTTGACCTCTAATCGTCTCTATTATATTTCTTAAATTAACCACACACACCACACACACACACACACCCCAGTCCCTCCGGAATCTCCTCCCATTTCTCCCTTCCCTTCAGTGGCTCCCAGAGACTTTAAAATAAAGTTCACCTGCCTGAGCACGGCACGTAGGCCCTTCGTCATTTGACTCAGAGGACCTGCCCAGCCCGCCCGGGGGCATCCGACGTTCCAGCCACGCCAAAGACTTGGCCTTGTCTTAGCACACCGGTCTTTCATCGATTTCTCCCTCTGACCACACCACCGCACAGCCTGGAACACCCCGTCCCCTTTCTGCCCGGCAAAACCTAGGCATCCTCTGCATGCCCCCAAAACGTCACCTCTCTGGGCAGCCCCCCTGGACACCCCGCACTCCTTCCTCTACTCGTTTCTGGTGTGTCATGTGTCACACACTCTACTCCACGCTCCCCCACCAAACTGGGAGCAAGACCATATCTTACTCAACCGCATACAGCCTCATACAGCAGGTCACTGGTGTCCAGCGCCTTCATTAATTGTTTGTCGAACAGGTGGGCAGACGGAAGAAATTAGTCTGGCTTCGGAATAAATTCAACTGAACATGTATCGGGTCTCTCCTGTCAATCAATATCACGCAAACACATCTCATAAAACGTAATTCACATCCAGAACCCTAGCCCCGAGGGAATGTAGAAACACAGAAGGAGATGGAAATGGATGCCGAGGGCCATCGGCTCATATTCACCACAGGGAGGATATAAAAATTCGTAAGGACAGTCCCTTTCCTCCGGGAGATTACAATCTAGTAAGAAACATGTATACAGCAACCACCATTAAACAAGGCCGAAAAAGGCTTTCAGAGAGAGGGCGGCTAAGCTTCTAGGGCCGCGGCTTTGGGGGAGAGAGAGAACGAGAGGGGTCACGGCTGGGCCTGGGCCTTGAGCTCGGCGGGGCTGCTCCTGCGGGGGCTGCTGTTTAAATAACACCGTTGTTGAGGGGTGTTATTTAAATAACACCGTTGTTGAGGGGTGTTTAAATAACACCCTCGCCAGAAAGCTGAGCCAGAGGGCAGAGAATCAATCCAAACGTGAGCGGTCTCGAAGTCTGGAAGCTGCTCGGGCTTCGTGGGGGCTCTCGGTGGGTCAGTGGCAGGGCCGGGCGGCATTCTGGGCGGAGGGGACAGCATGACTACCTCGTTCCTCCGCGAAGCGAGGACACCAAAGACGGGAAGCAGAGCGAGTCACGGCCGAAGGGTGAGGTGGGCCCGAGCCGGAGGACCTCAGACTCTAGCAGGAAGAACTTGGAATTCTTTCTCTGACGGTAAGAGGGGCCGTGGAAAGATTTCAGAGCAGAAAATGAGGGATTGAGGGGAAACCTGGCCGAGGAGACTGTGGAGTAGAGAGAAGCAGCTAACATGAGGTCAGAGCTGGTGAATTCCACCTGCATCACTTCGCCATCGCAGGTACCACGTGAGCTCTCGTAGACCTTGCGACAGGGCAGACGGGGGGCCACGCAGGCTCCAAGGCCAACAGCCAAGGGAGGCCGCGAAGGGAGGGAGGGGAAGCGCCCCGAAGTGGGCTCTGCCGCTGGAGAACCAGCGGCCCTCTGGAGCTAAGCCAGAGCATCATTCCCGATTCCCTCCGCTGCGAGGTCCCTCGGTGTAATTTTTGTCCCCTTAGTGTGCTCCAGTTTTCTCATCCTTAAAATGAGGAGTTGGCACAATACGACGTATAATGTCTCCTTAAGTTAAAACGCTATGGTTTCACAGCTAAACGTCTAGATGAATCAGCCCGTCCGATTAAATACAGTCAATACCCCAGAGGCTGAGAAACGCCGTGGCGGCAAACCGGGAAAGGTACCGTGGGGTTCTCGCGCCACCTCCTGGCCACTGGATTCTGTCGCCGGCGTCTGCAGCCGGCTAGAAAAATGACAGCGGCTGTTGGAAAGGGAACAGGTCACCACTGTGTGGCGCTCTCTGCCCAGCGGACAGGGAGAGCTTGTCGAGGACCCGTCACGCGTCCCCCCTGCAGCGCTGTCGCCGGTCCCAGCGGTGTATCCGCACCACGCAGCGAAGACCCGCAGCCCAGGGGTCCCGTACCACTGAGCCCCTATCCTGGCCGAGCCGCTGCGCTTCCCCGTGACGCGAGGCCCTGCGCCCCCCCACATCCCACACCAACCCCCGTGACGCGCGAA